TTGCTCATGTATAAAATTTCTTTCTTTAAAAAAATACTGACGTTGGCTGGGTGTGGTGGCTCACACCTGTTATCTCAGCACTTTGGGAGGCCAAGGCTGGCAATCATAAGGTCAAGGGAAGGAGACCATCTTGACCAACATAGTGAAACCTGTCTCTACTAAAAATACAAAAATTAGCTGGGTGTGGTGGCACACGCCTGTGGTCCCCGCTACTTAGGAGGCCGAGGCAGGAGAATCACTTGAACCTGCGAGGCGGAGGTTACAGTGAGTCAAGATTGTGCCACTGCACTGCACTCAAACCTGGTGACAGAGCGAGACTTTGTCTTAAAAAAAAAATTGACTTGTCGAACTGATTTTTAACTGTAATAAACTAATATTTTTCCTGTAAATACTGTTGGGTAGTTCTACGTAAAATAATGCCATTTATAAATATTTAGTTTAATGCCATTTTCCAAATATAAGGAGCATCTCTAGCTTGTTTTCATTGTATTTATTGATTTTAAGCTCAATTGTTTGATGATTAGAAAACATATTCTGTATAATTATTTCAGTTGAAATTATACAGAATATGTTTTCTAATCATCAAACATTTAGTGTAATGCCATTTTTATATTCTGTATAATTCTGTATAATTTCAGCTGAAATTATACAGAATATGTTTTCTAATCATCAAACAATTGAGCTTAAAATCAATAAATACAATGAAAGCCCAGCATTTGGTAAATTCTTTTATATGCTCCATCCAGGTTCCTAAATTTCATAGTTGTTGGACACATCATTTTATAACACATCAGGTCACTAATCTCAATGATCAAATCTTATGTTTCTTTGATCTTTTCTTTCTCTACTTATTTTGAGAGTTACTGAGAGAACTTTTGCATTAGTTTTTATTGCTGTCATAAAAATTATCATAAATTTTGTGTCTTAAAATAATACAATTGGCTCTCATACAATTTGGTGAGTCAGAAGTCAGAGATAGCTCTTGCCAAGGTAAAATCAAGGTGTCTGTAGGACTGTATTTCTGTAGACCCTGAAAATGATTTCACTTCTAAGTTCATTCAGATTATTGGCTGTATGTATGTATTTATTTATATATCGTAGAGCCAAGGGATCTAATTCCTTCGTAGCTATCAAATGGGGTTCCTTTTTCAGAATTAGAGTATACTTGCATTTTCAGGCTATATTATAGCCCCATTCATCTCAAAACCAGCAACAGTGGCTAAATCCTTCTCAGTGTTGGATTGTCTTTGGTATCCCCTTATGACTCATCTTTCTCCAGTTCCTCTTCCTTTGCCACTCTCTGACTCCAAACAGAGAAAATTCTTTCCTTTCAAAGGCTCACATTGAGATTGGGCCCACCGGAGTAATCCAGGATAATCTCCCTATTAACTTCCATAACCTTAGTCTCAAATACAAAGTTCTTTTTGCCAGGTAAGTGTGTAAATATCTTTGGGAGGCTTTAATTTAAATTACATGACCTTCCAAGCCTCAATTTTCTCATCTCTAAAATAGGGATATTCCTTTTTTGTAAAGCTATTGTGAGGACTAAATAAGGTAATGTGCATAAATAAAAGAGCCTACCCCAGTGCTTATAATATAAAAATAGCTCGAAAAACAATACATTTTAATTTATTTTATTATACTATAAGTAACACATGCTATTAGAGGTTTTTATATTTCCTTCGTGTCTGCCTCAGGATGATAAAAATTAATATTAACTGAAGCATTTTTTCTTTGTAAAAAGATCATTAAAAACCAAGACACATATAATCTCTTTATTAGCTTGAGATAAACAGTTTACATGCCCCAGAAAACATTATGGCTGCCTTGACTTGTTTTTGTTTGCTTACATCTAAAGAAAGTTTGGGGGGTAAGATGAACCTCAAAAACCTGACATCACTGTCAAGAAGGACTTGTTTCCAAAAATTGTGTAAGAATGATCAGCAATTGTGTAATTTGTTCTTAAAACCAAACTATCTACTTAATGATACAACTGTTTAAAGATAATTGAGTCTTCATTTAAAGACATAAAAATACTCAGATGTCATGTCTTGCTCATGAGAAAGATATGTAAAACCTTGTTATAACCCTTGTTTGACATTTAGAGGAATTAGTAATATTAATAATGTCTTGGTCAATTCTTGGCAAACTAATAAAAGAATGTGTTTACAAAGAGCATAAAAGGATAGCATTTAATGCATTTATAAAAGTGCTGTTTGTGATTATAATACCATAACTATTAAACATATTTATTTGTAAAATAAGGTACATGAATATAGTTATAATTTAGAATACTACAGTGTCTATTGATAAGTACTGAAGGGATGATTTAACTAAGGTCTTGAGTTTTATGTCCAATTTCGTGGCCAATTTTATAACCAACAATTTATGCTATTGCTCCAGTTTTTCAGCTTTCTTGTAGTGAATACAAAGAGTGAATAATCAGGACTTTAATATTGGAAGCTTCTTTGATAAATCTGTGATAATGACTTTATTATACCTGTCTTTTGTATTTTAATGAAGTGTGAAATATTTTGACATTCACAATCTACTAAACCGTGAAAATGATTTTTTTTGGAAAAACATTTGGATCTTTCTTTTCTTAATTGCATAATCTTCATGTATTACACTAAATGGAGAAATACTATGAAAAATATCTTGCAATCTTGCACAGAATAAAACTCATTTAATTTTATTATAAAGACAGCATTGTAGATGGAAGAGACAGGGATAGCTATACATACACATACATATATATACATATATAAATGTATATAATTTTAATGTATCTAATACGTAATTCATAATAGATAATGCATGTCAGTTAAACTAGTAGATAATTCATAATTTGTAATTCATTGAACTAAGTACTAGCACTATGAAAGAACTATTCTAATGAAGAATGAGAATAATAGCTAAATTTCTATTTTTTCTTTTGATGCTATTTCAAGGTTCAAATGCACTATTGATTTTTTTCAAGAAAATTAATATAGAGTGTATGGTCAAAATCAAAGGTGAAAAATATAATCAAGAACACACATTCCATAATATTAAGCCATGGAAGACATGACCATAGTGTCAGTGGGATAGGATTGCCTCAGTTGGCTAAAGAAAAATGCATTGTTGGAAACTTACCAGTTTAGCCATATATGGACAGCTTTGCACAATAATCTAGCATCTCAAAATAATGTTAAGATCAAATCTTTACATATTCTATAATTTTATTACTCTGACATTAAAGAGTTTAGGGTTTGAAGAAACTGAAGATCAATAGTAAATAGGAATTTTCTATAAAAATAAGTAAAGATGATGAAACTTTGAGACTTGCATGGTAGGGAGGATCTTTTTCTAAGCAATATGGATACTGTGAGCAAAGTCTAAGAATTGGAGATCCATTTATGAGATGGGAGGAAGTTAATCTGAATGGAATGAGGCATTATCAGCAAGAACTTGGGAATGTTCCAAATACACTGACAAACGGTCAGATAATGGAAGAGCATAAAAGTCTGTCAAAAGAAGTGACCTTATGACACCTGACAATGAGAAATTGCAACATTTTTGAAAAGCAGAGTTGCATGATTAAAATGGTATTTGAGGTCCCTGTTAAACAAGGCACTAAAAAGGTTAGAGAGGGAAATGGAAACAGTGAAATCACACAGGATGCCTTGATATTCAAACTGAACATTATAAATTTCCATAAGAAAGATCAATTATGCACAGGGATGCAGTAGTAATTAGATATGGTGCAAAAACAGATTCTATAAGTAGATTTGTTGCCTAAGATAACTCACCTATTACTTTATAACAAAATAAAGTTGGTACTCAACCAAAGAAAGCAAATGTAACTCAAAGGGTGTATTTCAAAATAAGATCTCATATATATTTAATTAAAACTAGTTACTTGGAAATCAATTAGCATCTGTTATTACAGTAGAAACTCACTAAACAAAAGCGACTCAAAGAGGTGAAGCATTTACTAACCATTAATTCATCCTGATAAAACAGTTTATATTTTGTTTTTAAGTAATATAATCTACAAAGTCTCAGGTTACGGGTAACAATTTCTTCAAACTTTCACGAACACAAGAATGTTGAAATACCCAAAAATATTTTCGATACTTTCAAAAAGAATGTAGAAGTCAAAGGCCCAAATGATCTGTTTAATTCATAAATTACCATTCTCCTATAAAGCAGGTATGTAAATTTTAAGATTAAAAAAATATTGAAATGTAAAGATGGTCTGCAAAACTAGATACCATCATATTAATGCAATTCTTTGTTTCATGGTCTTACATACAATAGATCATATTAGAGGTACTCTAGAAATAGTTTGTAGCTTTATTAACAGAAAATTAATATGGTATCCACAGTTTTCAAAATAAATAAGTAAAAGTTCTTGGCATATGCATTTTAGCAAAAAAAGAAATAAAAGAGCAAAACTCCAAAAAAACAGACACAGCCTAATAAAAGTAATACTACTTTTAAATATTTTTCTAATTTGATCAACATGTTCCTATAAGAATTCATTTGTGATTTATATTTAATTTTTTAGTTATTTCAGAACTTGATTTTAAAATACAGAAAATAACTTAAGAAACTCAAATATTTTCTTCCCGCATTTAATTAATATGACTACCTCAGAAATACAAAGACAACATATTTGTATTATATAAATGACTTAGGATAATAATAATAACTCTTGTTATGCCTAAGTAATCATGTATGTGGATCTAGGCAATAAATTTTCAAAGGTGATGAAAAATAAACTATCTCTGTTTTATTATACATACATTAAATTATTTTTTCCATACTTAAATCAATTCCTAAAATAACATCAGAAGTCACATATTTCTTCTGAGTACTGTTTTTTTTTTAATGTTTTCTTGGTATTTCTAAACAGTTACGCTCATTATTTTAAAGATAATTTATAAACATTTATTGTATATAGTTAGTTACATCCATCAACACAAAGGACAGACAGCGCGTAAATAGAAACTGACCTCGTTTACTGTGGCATAGTAGCTTTCATGCTTGAACGTGGGCGAGTTGTCATTCCTGTCTCTCACTACTATTCGCACCTCATGGTAGATAATAGTGCCCACTTTTTTGTTGATGCACTGGACCTGCACCACAATGGAGTGTATGTTCATCGGTGGCTGCAATGTAGAAATTGTATCTTTTAAAATACTAATTAAAAACAAAGCTTTTCATTACTGTCAAAGTACTTATTCATTCAGTACATTTTTCTATTCTTGTTTGTTTTTAAGTTATAATAATCTAGAAGAAAATGATCATTTTAAAGACAAGAGAGGATAATCATTATTAATTTATGGACTGATTTTGTATCTCAGTGTATGGACTTCAGGTAGCGTTATGCTCACAGTCAGGGGATGGCTGATGAATGCAACCACAGAATTAGTGCTTAGAATTGATGGAATGAAATGAAGTTTGTGCCTCCAAAGACTAAAGAAGCAATAATATAAACTTTTAATTTTAAAAAGTGTTAATTAATAAATCCTCAGAGAAGAGACATTATTTATCTATTTATATTTTTGTTAGAATATTTTATGTTCATTGCTGCTCAAATTTAAAATACTGATAAAAGATAAATTTCAAAATCCAACCAACTAAACTTACTAATTCTATTCATTTAAATGTTTATTTTGCTAATTTTCTGTCTCTAAATATGTACCTATTATCGACACATAGGCACGTAGTGAATATTAGCCAATGTTTGTAAGTATAGATTTACTATAGCATCTTGTTGTATAATACTAAGATGTTATTTGACAGCAACACTATACTTCATTGTAAGCCTATAGCATAATGTATCCAAGTTATAATTTACAATGAACTGTTTCAGTCTATTACCTTTGTCATTATAAAAACTACTTCAATATATATTATATATAATCATATGCTCCCTTGTCTAACAATTTTTATAATAAATTCCTTGAAAAGGAAAAGTATCATCAAAGGTAATCTTATTTATTCAAGTCCCATGGCTAAGAGCTTGCAGAGCAGGACTGCAAACCTATATCTATTTGACTCTAGAGTCAGAGTATTGAGCACTACAAAATATTTCTTTGTGATTTTTAACCCCTTTTGAGCCTGTACAATTTTATCTCTAAATGTATCATTTTTTACAGTGTCCTATCCTGACCACTTCATCTTAAAAACCTTGTGTCTAGACCTCTCCTTTCAAATTTCTTCCTATTTTTCTTTATTGTATTTGTCATTCAAAATTTGGCTTATTATGTACTTTATATACTTGTTTTGGTTCATCTGCCTTCACTAGACTGGAAGCTTAATAAAAGCTGTGTGTAATTTATTCACGATGGTATCCCTCTTTCCATACTTCCCAGTAATCAGCCTGGTGCTAAGACAGATGACCCAGAGTCAAACTGCTTGGCTTCCAGTTGCATAACCTACTAACTGTATGATCCAGGAAAAAGTACAAAGTATCTCTATGCTTTGTTTGTTCATCTATAAAAATAAGGCTAATGGTTACACCAATGAGAATTGTAAATACTACATGTGATTAGACTGTACTGGGCACTACTAAACACTTTACGAATTAAATACATACTCTATTCATTAAAAAGCTAAATATCCAAAAGAATGAAAAAGTGAAATTTATAATGCGTACCACAATTGTAAATGAGAAAAATGTTATAGAAACTACATCTATACAGAAAGAGATCATTACTTAGTTTCAAGATATTTTTATAGCCAACAAAGAAAGTTGACATGCATTTGTATCTCTTTGAATAATAGTACATAGAAAGAACAAATTGAGTCATCATTAACATATGAAAAGAGGCCTCCAGTGAAATGACACATAGCTCTGTGTTTTCATATCTACTCAATTTTACTTTTAATCACTGACATAAATGAAGACATTAAAATCACGTATAAAATCTGTAAATGTCACAAAGCTCAGAAGAATGTGTAATACATTTAATGACAAAGACATGGTTCAAAGTCATCTTAGTAAGTCATAATAGTGGGTTACAAATGGTAAACTTTCATAATAATAAGTATTACCCTATAATTTGTAATTGAAAAAAAGTCAATCACCCAAATGTAATAGATGGCTACAAACATTAATGCAAAAATTGTGCAATTTTGATAGCTAAAAGCTGATTTTACATGCCAGCACTATAAATAGGCTACTGGAACCACTAATGTGCACTGTACATTAATGTCAGTATTAATAATATAGGTAGATTATAACAGGCACCATTTTACAGGTGCATAGAAGAGAAATTTGAACACTTTTGAGAATGTATGAAATTGGAGGATTTTAAGTTTAACAAGTTATGATTTGCCAAATATCTAAATGGTTGTTATGGAAACATCCATTAGTTTATACATCATAGTTTTAGAGAGTAGGGATAAGAAAAATTGGTGAAAAAATATTTCAAAGATGTATCAAAATATCTCATGCAACTCGAATATATACAACTACTATGAGCACATAAAAGTTTTTAAAAGCAACAGAGCATAGATTCTTATCAGTAGAACAGTATAGTTTATGTTAGAAATACATTTATATCTTCTCATTTCATCTTTCTTCCAATTACTTTTCCTCTGCCATTGTGAGCTAAGATGTTTGTAATGCTTCAAGTTCTTTTTTTCACCTTTATCTTTGTATAAATAAAAAACAGGAAGAAAAAGTGGCATAGAGCACGGTATTCTATAAAACAAGACCCATCATTGAAAATATGCCAGTCTGAGAATAAAGACCTTCGAAAACGACTAGCTCTTAGAAGTTTCCTAGAAAGAATTTGAATTAGACAACCTCCATGTTTATTACCAGCTTTCAAGTGTTTGCTTTAATAGAGTTTTAAGGGAGGTCCAGCATATTTTACTTGTAAATTAAAAACAAAATAAATATGCGTACTATTTGCCCTTGGCACATCTCTTGGAAGACAATGTGGTGAATTATGCACTTTTAAAGTTATTTATCTTCCAATTATTGCAGGAGAGACCTATAAAAACATTCTCTCTCAACTTCTAATGCTACATTAAGTGGTACCATGGGGACCAAAAGGTCACAGTTTTTTCCAAGAGAGGATCGAATGCACTGTGCACTGAGTCCTGCTAAGTACCCATAAATTAGATCTAACCAGGTCACCTGGAACTCTTGTCACTCTCAACTTTAGCTCCCAGTGCAACTGTCAGTAGCATGGCTAGAGCTCAGAGGACAATAAATTATAACCATAATAGACCACGCCAAAGGCTAAAGTTCCCTGTGGCTAATATATAACAATGTAATTTGGTATTGGCATAGATTCTATTCTTCTGTATAAGAAGGTCACACACACACAAAAGTACAGTTCTACTAAGTCGATTAGTGGGAATTTAGGGACTCCAAAATGCTTAAGAATGTGTCAGGAAGATTTTGGGTTATCTTTTATAACTGTTGGCAAAAGTAAGTCATGGTAATTTGATCTTTTCTAATTTTCTTTGTTTCTTCATGAAACAAATAAACAAAAAAGCTAGGTAGAAATGTGTTCATCTACTTATTTAAAACAATTAACATTCATATATACCTAATTATGCAAGCTATTCTTTCAAATTAAAAATGAGTGCTTAACACAATACCTGCACATTTGTGTATTAACGTACCAGTGTACAGGTTTCAATATGTATATCAGGAATTATATATATATCAACAAGTAAATGATAGTGGCATTAAAAAGGGGTTTGCAAGTGTGAAGGAAAAGAAATTTCCAACAACACTGTAAAAGTTCTGTAATTCAAAAAAAAGAAAAAAAAAACGTTAAATAGGAATTTTTGTTATGAATTTCTCATTTAGGATTCAACATGAAACATGAAGTTTTTATAGGAGATTTGTTGAGGTAAGCAGTGCAGATTATAGTATAAATCTTTGATCTAATAATTTCTTTTCTAGAAACCAAATGATTGGAAGTCTTAATTATTTGGGGGCAGTAAATAAATTTTTGGCAAATCTGTAGGAATTGATTTTGTTTTTCATAAAGTATAGGCAAAGTTTATCCAATCCTCACATGAGTGAAATTTGTTGTTGTTTTCTATGTACTTACTACCTTTATAACATATTCTTCACTGTTTCAAAAGTAATGTGGGAGACAGTGAAAAGAAATAAGACGTTGTGTGTGTTATCAATAATTTTTAAATAAAAAAGCAAACATAAAGGCAGTGGCTAGCCAGAGTTGTCAGTATCCTTCACAAATTAAATTTTCACAATGAATATTAGAATACTTACACGAAGACATTGCCTGAACATAAAATATCAATATTTAAAAATATAATTAGGCATATGTAATGTGTAGATACATTTGAAGATTTTTCAAAGTGAATTCTTAGGGGCATTCAGTCTGTTTAATGATAGGTACTTGTTATATGAAAAGTTTAATGGGGGTAAGGATTAATCTGACATTGTCCTTGGACATTAATAGCAACTTTAAAAAACTGATATGAGGTGAACATAAATAAAGGAAGTCAAAAACACTATTAGATAATATGTATTTTAGAACAAGGAATTGCATACCAGTGTTATTAGAAAATAATTTATACAGAAACAGCATTTAAGATGTATCTTAGCAGTAGATAAAATTTAATTGACAGCACTGGAGAATGGTGATTTCACAATTTATGTTCGAAAGAATATCAGGAAAGGCATGGTAAGAAAATCTTAAATTATGGTTATGGGACAATAATTAGTTCAGTTTTCCTAGATTATAGTTCATATGTTTCTAAATAAAAAGAAATGATAGAAACAGGATGCACCTCAAATCTAGGAAAACTCAAGAGCCAGATAGAAAACAGTTTGCAATGAAAAGCTATCTGTGGACAGAACCTGCTTCAGAGCACTGAATGTAGAATAGGTTCAATCAAGAAAGGTGATAGAAAACAACTAGATTATATGAGTGATGACTAAGAAGTCTCAGACTAAAGGTATACTGATGGATGGAGATGCAAGGTACAACGGGGAGATAAAACTACTAAACTTAGCAGTTAAAGGGATACTGGCCTGGACAGAGGGGTCAAGCTCTTTGTGTAGCTACCAAGTTAGAGTCTGAAAGAAAAGAAGCTAAGGTAATCTGGGGTTGTTACGAACATAATTTCTCTTTCAAAAGCTTTTAAATTTTTTCCCAAGATTTTGAGATAAATATTATTGGACTGTACCTATGTCATACTTTTCTTTGTAATTTTAATTATTGATATTATCATGACCATTACTATCCCATGCTCAATAGCGATGAGAGCATATTGGTCAGGTGAGATAATCATTTGGCATTTCAAAATTTTTATGTGATGTCCCTTTATTACTGAGACTCTTCATATTCCCCCCAAATATTACATTTCAATTGTTTTCTCTTTTGTGGCTTTTAATTTGTAACTTTTTTAAATTTTTGGGTACAGAATATTTATGTAACTTTAGCAAACCAAAAATAAAAACAAAACAAAAAAAAATGATGATCGTAAGGGGAAATCTCATGAACCAAGTTTTTAAAATTATAAAACAGGTCATAGTCACACAATAGCATGTAAATACTTTCTAATTAAATACAAATATTTGAGTGTTGGGTATTTTTATGCTTGATTTTCACCCTTAGAAATTTTTATAAGGATCACATTTATCAGCTTATTTTTAACATTTAATGTTAAAAATGTTTTTGTTTATATTGTTTACTTTTAATTCTATTGCAGCCATAATTATTCAAATGTCCATATTAAAAGACAGTTAATTGCCTCAATGAGCAAATGTAGAAAACATGAGTTGGAACACTTTCTCTGGAAAATACATTTTTCTCTATCTGCTGCTAAAAAGATTGGTATAATTTGATATGGATCTATCATGGGGCCCTACCCCTTGCTCCCTGGCTATAGATGCAAGACAGTGAGTATTTAGCTATTACTTCTCAGAAATTTTAAAACAAAACAAAATACAGTGAATTTAAGTCATTTTTAATAGCCAATGTATAAAACATTTATGGAGAACTGACATGGCATGAACATAGAAAATACCTAAAGTCAAGTGCAAAACAAGGAAATGGAGTAAAATTACAGATGTATAATGGAATCTGCTCTGCAGAGAGAAGAGTAGAGAATATACACATAGAAAGGTAGAAACTAGAGACCATATGGTTGAAGACCAAGTAGTTTTCCTTTTTCCCTGGTAAACTTACAATTTCCATAAAAGTAAATTATTTTTTATCTCTATGCCATTGATATTATTAATACTCTCTTCTATCAATTGATATCACTTGAAGACGTTCTTGTGTTTTCCTTATAAGCCAAATAACTTTGATTAAAATCAGAATAATCTTAGAAAAGCATCATTACATGACAAAGATTCAGTGAAAAACTTTCTGTAAAAGTTAATTCAAGAGCAATTTACCACAATGAAAAATTAAAGTTAATTATATGAGAGTGATTATAATACAAGCTTTGGCAGTTGTTAGTAGGATCAAACTCAAATTGTTGTTTCTATTTTGTTATTCAGAGCAATCATATACATACACATATATACGCATATATTAATATATGCGTATATATGTATATATACGTATATTAACATATATACATATATAAATACATACATATATGTATACACATATACGTGTGTGTGTGTGTGTGTGTGTGTATATATATATATTTTGTTGTTGTTGTTGAGACATGAGTCACACTCTGTCACCTAGGCTGGAGTGCAGTGGTGTGATCTCGGTTCACTGCAGCCTCCACCTGGGATCAAGTGATTCTCCTGCCTCAGCTTCTAGATAGTTGGGATTACAGGGTGACCACCACAATGCCTGGCTAATTTTTAGATTTTTAGTGGAAACAGGTTTTCATCATGTTGGCCAAACTCATCTTGAACTCCTGACCTCAAGTAATCCACTGGCCTTGGCTTCCCAAAGTGCTGGGATTATAGGCATGTGCCATCACACCCAGCCCATATTTTTATTATGATTCATTGTATTTGTAAAAGAACAACCAAAAACTTTGGGCAACAACCAAAAGAATTACATTTCAGGTAAATGGCCTACATTTTAAAAGAAACTAAAAATATTTTGGTATTTATAATAATATAGTTATTTAACAATAATGTATATTTTATCAATATGTAGCTTTTGGGAAACAACATTTTATATTAAATAAAATTTAAGACAATGTAGTTAAATGTCTATATTTACATATACTTATATCACAGTATTAATTTATTTTACATTAACACTGGAGAGCATATTTACAAATATAATCTATATAAAAAGTGTGCACTCACATTTTTTCCAAATAAATTCTCTACCATATTTTTGTAGAAATTATTGTTAACTAGGATCATAGAGAAGCATACAGAAAAAAATCTTATTCTATATCAATGTAAATAATGTTAAAATAATTAAGTGAAACATACAACAGCTCTCCAAGTAGACTAAAATATTTTCAAGCATTTACATTCTTATTTCATTTCAGAAATTACAATTATTTAGTAATATTGGTGTGGAAGCATACAGTTGCAGTATATCTGGAGGACCATTTAGTAAAATGGATATAATGCCCTATCCCAGTAATATAATGAAGGTAAATTAATTTCTCTCTATAAAGAAACCAAACAATTGTACAAAGATGTGTGTACAAAAATTTTCACTACAGCATTTTTGTAATTATTAAAAACTGCAAGCAAACTTGACATCCAAGATAAGAGATTCATTTTTAAAAATCTGATTTTCATCCAATAAACTCTGAAGTTGATACAAATTTTATAAATACATATTTGTTTGCATTATAATTTTAGATGTATTATAAATTTCATGGAAAAATAGGCTGAAAGCATAATGAACAGTACAATCCAATTTAAATTAATAAGTATTATAAATATACATGCCAACACACATAAAGGCATGAAATGAAATGTAGCAGGATAAATATTAAATGTTATTTTCCCTAACTGATAAAATTACCTTCATATATATGCTTCTTAATTTCTGATTTGTTTATCATAAGCATATATTATTTTACAATTAAATGAGGCTGTAATTTCCAGTGATTATTAGATTTGGATTAAAAGCCTAAATTTATCTCACTAATTTTCTAGCAGTAATGGTCTATATGTCACATAAAGCAGATGGGCACTGGGTTAAGGATATTCAGAAGAAAAGACTTTATGCTTTGATGAATGAACCCCTAAAAGCACTGTGGCAACAGAAAAACATAATTCACGAGAATTCAAAAAATTCATGGGTAATCAAGTACATAGTAAACTGTACTACAGTAAGAGGCAAATTGAGATTTATTAAAGACTGCAAATTTTAGACATGAAATAGTATAAAGTATCAACCACTCCATAACCTGTTGTAAAGTGGATCATAAACCCTGAGCAATGATGTGACATGATTCAGATTCACCAAGCTGAGTGTCTGACATTTGGATTTCATAAACTGAGAACTTGCGGGTAAGCATGTTTAGAGTTATTCTGAGTTTTTCCAGGTCCAGCACAATTACTGGTTACAATCCACTACCCCTTTCCCCTCTGCACTCAAGAAAGACTGAGGTGCAAACAAGTGAGCACAAAGTTTCTGTAGAGAGCTACTTAAGCCAATTACAGTTGTTTTTTTTTTTAAGTTTTCCAGAAATGAAACATACAACAACTTTTTGTAATTTAGCAATTTATTTTAATGTAATGTCTCACTTTGCTGCCCAGGCTGGAGTGCATTGCTGTGATCGTCGTTCATTGCAGCCTCCATCCCCCAACCCCAAGCTCTGGGGATCCTCCCACCACAGTCTGCAGGTTAGTGGGACTTCAGGCGTGTGTTACCATGGCTGGCTAGTTTTTAAATTTTTTGTTAAGACACAGTCTTGCTCTTTGCCCCACTGGGCCTCCCAAAGTGCTGGAATTACAGCTATGAGCCACCGCTGTGCCAAGCCCATATAGATATTTTTAGTGACAAAATATTTATGCTAGCTGAGAACTACTTGATTGGCATATTACCATGAAACTTTTGTTCACTCTTTTTTTATTTTTCTGCAACTATGTAAGACATTTTCACAGTGCCACCCTTCAACCAATGCTTACTATTTGTAAATCCAGGCTCCTGTGAGTGCACCCACCAAACTATGTCTTCAAGCCAAGAGCTGAGTGATAAACATTACTATCATTGGAGAGAAATGGGTTACAGTCATGCTTGTCCTACTTTGCCAAGGATACCACCTCTTTTTTCTAAGTACTCTAATTCTTGTTCAGAAATCTGACAAGCTTCCAGGATATTAAAGGGGAAGTATCATGGTTCTCTAGGACACAGACATTCCCTTCCTTTCTCATTCTTCCTTCAATGAGTTAAAAAAGGAACTGTTGTTGATATATTCAGGAAATAAACCCAAATTATATAAGGAAAATTCAATATTATATAAACACACACGTAGACATTTAAATTATAATAAAGTTATATCACAGGAGTAAAGAAAAAAAAATCACTAACATCTCTATCCAGAACTCTGCCAGTGCTGTTCAGGAAGAGCATTTGCTTAACAGGATCCATCAACACCCAGTAATCCACATTGTCCTTTAAAGAAAGTTCTATGGTGGGGTCTGGTCCTCCAGCAGTCCCTTTGATCAGCATGTTGTCCACCAGAATTGTACCTGCAAACCAAAGAAAGTTATTTGAAAACATACTCTACTCATATGAATTCTTTAGCAAAGACCATGCTCTTAAACCGCGGCTGGCTCACTATCAGTTCTAAATTAGAAAATACTCAATTGTATATCTAGCATAAGACAGAAAATAGTATTTGCCAAAAAGCCAAAATATCTGCTTTATTTATAAATATTTTTGGATAAATAAAGCTAGAAGGAAGAGGTTCAAACACAGTGAGTTGCATCATCCATTTTCTACTTCCTTCTAACAACATGAATCTGTTTCCCCCATCTATCATTTTTCACAGAAGTTATCATTGAATTTTATCCTGAACAAAAGGAAATGCCTGTAATAACAGAGTCTGATGCCTCAATTCATTCTGTAAGACCTCTGACATGAAAAAAAAGATATTTTGAAACTAAAAAAGGAAGAGGAAAGAAGAAAGTTTTTAAAAAGTGTCTAAGTCTCCATGGTGAGAACTGCTTCATTTTCTTTTATCTTAGAGCAAATACATAAAACATAAATCTTGATATGAAAGACAAAACTAGTGTGCAGAAATGCAATAGAAGCCATTCTTCTTTAAGACATGTCTGGGCTACTCCATTAGAACAATGCACTATGCCAATGTAACATTTCAGTGCTTGCTTTCTTATTTTTTCAGCAAGCTGAATTGTAGACAGTTTTTGAATAAGAGCTAAAAAGATAATACTTCTAACACTTTCTACTAAAGATCCCACGGATTTTACATGTTCCAGGCAAACAACACTGATGCAACTGGAATCCCATTTGTCCCTCACACAGCAACGATATTTTTGCCAAACAATAACATTCCATGGCTTAGAGCAATCATTTTCAACTGATCCATTTTATGAAACTTACAGATATTTAGAAGAGATGTGGCTATGCAAATGTAAATGTAGCCTCCAAAAAACACTAGAATAAATGGCAAATATCAAGAGAACCCATTGCTTTAGGATAGCACACAAGAATATATAGAGAATGAATATAAATCTGGCTTGAAAAATATAATGAAAAATGTATGCATTGCATTACTTAAGGCATGAAATTGGCCTAAATGTTATGACATTGCATAATTTTTAAAAAGTGGAAGGATCTTTAAAATATTTTCTCAGTAATTTAATAAGAACTATAATTACCTATAATATTTATTTATCATACTATTACCATCTGTCTAAACAGTGTTGGAAAGAACGATAAATCTTTTATAACAAGCCCCAATAGTGTTTAAACACAAATGTTGTCTCACATATACATACTTTTCTAAATGGCAGGATTTTTTTCTACTTTTTCCACATACTAGGATATAATTACATGAATAATGCATGGAATGAGTATTTTTATTTTTGACTGAAGTAGTAAATAGATAACCTACATACAATACACTCCAAAGTATAGATCAGATATTGATAACATTTTATTGCCTACAAATATGTTTAAGAATATATATATATATATATATATATATATATATATATATATATGTATTCAAGGCCCCAGTACATACTAATTTATAAATACTTCACAAAACTGACTATAAAAAGTTTTGGATTTATACTTAAATATAAAATTGAGAAACTGAAAAAGAATTCATTTTCTGATTAACAAAAACATATACAATAGGCCGGTCAAGTAACATTAATACCTTGACTCAATAGTGTTTAAGAGTAGCTACTGCAAATCTTCTGAGTGTGTGTGTGTGTGTAGTATATTCCAAGCAGATAGGCTAAGGGAAGGAGCCATTGAAGTCTCTTTACAAAACAGTTTACAATCAGATCAAGTTTTAACAGCAGCTATTATTAAGTGGTGAAACAAAAACACTCTCTGGATTTATTATTTCATTTCATGATTTGTAGAATTTTCATGGAAACGATCTTAATGGGTTTTCTGGTTTCAGCTCACCTCTGTGTTCATCAGTGACTGAAACTCAACAATAAGTCTTTCTGCTGTTGGTGTGTTGAAAAAGAGAGTTTGGTTTGCTTGCCTGCTTTCCTCTTTAGAATTGTCCATTTGTATTGCCAAAAAGAAAAAAAAAGGTAGCCTCTAAATTTTCATACGCCATCTTGCTTTAAGTCAAAAGTTCAGGGGAGAGAGAAAAGAGAGCCTATCTTAGGCAGACATGATATAAGGAGCAACATACATATTTAAAAAAAATAACCTAAGTTTTCACTCTGAATTATCTGAACAACTGTGCCCATACCACTTTTCTCAGAAAAATACGTAACACCCACGCTAATGTTAGCACTGAGCCAGAAACTCCTGTCTCTCTGTACCCAGCCGTGGAGACTGTATCTTACTACACATCCTAAGATTTCGAGATCTGAACAACTAGTGTTCTAGACAATATTGGCAAATAGTTAACCAGAATACTCTAGGTATATTGGGATACTGTGCTTCCTTACCTCCTTTGTTACTTTGCAAGCTTCCCTTTTTGCCAATAAACCTTTTGTTTAACATGTTTCCTGTGACATTTAAAGGTATTCCCTTCCTTGACTTCATTTTAAATACAACAATACACGTAAGTTAAAAATAAAAAGATGGGAGGCATGATACAACATCAAGTAAGAAAGCTGGATGGTTCTGTTAATGTCAGCTAGAACAAGCAATGTTTAGTAGTGGTTAAGAGACATATTTAACAATGATAAAGGGATCAGCAGGTGTAATCCTGAATAGACCTGCTTTCCAGAATAGGTAGTATCCAAGATGGGATTCCCCTTACATGAAAATTTCCTTTCATTGTAATAAAAATGGTAGCAATCCCAAAAAAGGAATTACATTTAGTTTGATACTCATATAAAAGAAGTTAAGAGAGCTGACCCTGGAATGGATAGGCTTAGAATTCAATCAATAATCTACCACTTACCTGCTATGTGAAAATGGATAGATTACTTAACCTCATTTGCCCTCAATTTTTCTCTTCTATAAAACCAGTACTATCATAGAAAAGGCATTACTACTATAATACTATATGTATGTTCCTGAAAAAGACTTGTACTCTTGTATTTAGAACACGAATAAAAATCAAAACAATCACAATCATGATACAAAATATTAGCACAGTTAAATATTTATTGATATTTTCAACACATTTCTCAGCCAGTTAGTCTTTTACAGCTTTGGGATTTGTGCGCCTTCCTTCAAAAAATAGGTAATGAGGGCCATTTACCTCTAGAGACAGTAGGCAAGGACTTAATGAACAAAACACCAAAAGCATTGGCAACAAAAGCCAAAATAGATAAATGGGACCTAATGAAACTCCACAGCTTCTGCACAGCAAAAGAAACAGTCACTAGAGTGAATCGGCAACCAACAGAATGGGAAAAAATTTTTGCAGTTTACCCATCCGACAAAGGGCTGATATCCAGAATTTACAAAGAACTCAAACAGATTTACAGGAAAAAAACAAACAAGCCCATTCAAAAGTGGGCAAAGGATATGAACAGACACTTTATGAAAGAAGACATATATGAGGCCAACAATCATATGAAAAATGCTCATCGTCACTGGTCATCAGAGAGATACAAATCAAAACCACATTGAGATACCATCTCACGCTAGTTAGAATGGCAATCATTAAAAAATCTGGAGACAACAGATGCTGGAGAGGATGTGGAGAAAAAGGAACACTTTTACACTGTTGGTGGGAGTGTAAATTAGTTCAAGCATTGTGGAAGACAGTGTGGTGATTCCTCAAGGCCTTAGAAATAGAAATTCCATTTGACCCAGCAATCCCATTACTGGGTATATATCCAAAAGACTATAAATCATTCTACTATAAGGACACATGTACACGAATGTTCATTGCAGCACTGTTTACAATAGCAAAGACCTGGAATCAACCCAAATGCCCATTGATAATAGACTGGATTGGAAAAATGTGGCACATATACACCATGGAATATTATGCAGCAATCAGAAATGATGAGTTTGTGTCGTTTGTAGGGACATGGATGAATCTGGAGAACATCATCCTCAGCAAACTGACACAAGAACAGAAAATGAAACACCGCATATTCTCACTCTGGCGGGTGATGAAAAATGAGAACACATGGACACAGAAAGGGGAGTACTAAACACTGGGGTCTATTGGGGGGAAAGGGGGAGGGCCAGTGGGAGAGGGAGGTGGGGACGGATAGCCTGGGGAGAAATGCCAAATGTGGGTGAAGGGGAGAAAGAAGCAAAGCAAAGCACACTGCCATGTGCGTACCTACGCAACTGTCTTGCACACTCTGCTCATGTACCCCAAAACCTAAAATCCAATAAAAAATTAAAAAAAATGAAACACTTTGGCCAGGAGTGGTGGCTCACACCTGTAATCCCAGCACTTTGGGAGGCAGAGGCAGGCAGATCACGAGGTCAGGAGATGGAGACAATCCTGGCTATTATGATGAAACCCCATCTCTACTAAAAATTATAAAAAAAAATAGCCATGCATGGTGGCATATGCCTGTAGCCCCAGCTACTCTGGAGGCTGAGGCAGGAGAATCACTTTAACCCGGGTGGTGGAGATTGCAGTGAGCCAAGATCGTGCCACTGCACTACAGCCTGGGCAACAGAGTGACACTCTGTCTTAAAAAAAGAAAAAAAAACTTCAGCCTTTATTTCGCCTCTTTATTTACCTATTAATTCAGATAAATAACGTTGCCACTTCTTTTTATTCACTTCCTGGTTCTCTAGACAGATTAGTATTTTATAAATGACAGGAGTTCCTGTAACTGCTAATATAGACTTATACCAAATACAGGTTCTTCAATAGATTTTTCATTTTCTCTTAAGATCTTCTTACATTGCTAATACTTTTATTTTAATTGTGAAAAGAAGCTTAACCAGACTGTAAGACTGTATCAAAGCATAAATAACAAATTTAGGAATAAACTAAAAAAAGGTTATAAAAAAAACTTCCTCTTTTAGCAACTTTATTCTTCTATTTACCAATCGTGTATAACGTAATTTACATCAAAGAAGAGCCTACTGGTTTGCTCTGATG